GGGGCGCGGAGGTGACAGTGGGCTCAGGGCTCTGGAGGGTTGGTAGGATCTCCCGCCAACAGTCAGCAGCGCTCCCCAGAAACTTCCGCGTATCGGGTGCAGAGCTCCTCCGGGTAACTGCGCTTCCAAGGGGCGCCTGTGGCCTTTCCGGGGACCAGTGTACCCGGCTGCATGCCCCTCGGCACTGGGGCGGTGCACACACTCCTGCCTGGCGTCTGTCCGGCCCTGCGTGGGGCCTCTGAGGGTCCTGCCCTGGTGTTGACCTTAGGGCTCTAAAAGCCTTTACAATTCCCATCTGCCCTCCCTCTGCCTGGGCCTATCTCTTCTCCAGGCGGGAACTGAGGCTGAGGGCTGGGCAGGGGGTGGCCCTGTGGCTCAGTCCAGGTTGGAGGTCCTGGTGGGGCGGAGGTGAAGGCGGGGCTGACAGATGGCCCAGAGACACTGGCCCCAGGCTGCAAGTCCCCACCCCCAGCCTGTGGGCCCAGCCTCTGCAAGGACTTTGGACACTTGGGGTGGAGGGTGGAAAAGGCCTAGCCTTCCTCCACCTAGGACCTCTGTAGCAGGGGTGAGCCGGATGGCAGGAGGTCCCAGGTGATCTGTAGGGTCCCTCCCCTGTGAGGACAAAAGAAAGCGCACTGTGAACTCCTTGCCAGGTAACCTTCTCCCTACAGGGGGAGGGAGTATCTCTGCAGACCTGGAGGGCAGGCCTGGAAGCAGGGCCCCTGGTGAGGGCATTTTGGGGGGCCTGCTGTTTCCCTTGATGCAGTGGGAAGACCAGGTCCTCCAACCACAGGGGTTGGCACCTTGGCGCCTCTCTGCTGAGACACAAGCCAGTGTGCACGCCCACCCCCACCTTGGCCTCCCTGCTTCAGGTGACCAGAAGTCAGCAGCTTCCCAGAAGCCCCGGGGTCGGGGCATCCTCCACTCTCTCTTCTGCTGCGTGTGCCGAGATGACAGCGAGGCCCTGCCTGCCCACAGCGGGGCACCCCTGCTGGTGGAGGAGAATGGTGCCGTCCCTAAGGTGCGTGGTGGCCAGGTGCAGGCTGCAGGAACACAGGCTCACTGGGGGTAGGGGCCCCTGACCATGCTTTCATGCTCTGCCTGGAGGTCCTGGAAGATTCCTCCAAGAAGCCCCCAGACTGGTCCTGTTGTCCCCTAGACTGTTGCTTGGTGACAGAACACCAGAATTCCCCGTCTACCTAGTTTTTCCAGGTGGGAAAGTGAGGCCCAGAAGCAAAGGGGGGAAGGAGGTGGTCATGTACACACACACACACACACACACACACACGTCCCTGTGGCACTTGGAAAGGGGGTGGGAGAAAATGCTTGAGGCCTTTGAGGGTGCTTGAGCCAGCCCTGCTGCCCTCCAGCAGACCCCAGTCCAATACCTGCTCCCAGAGGCCAAAGCCCAGGACTCGGACAAGATCTGTGTGGTCATCGACCTGGATGAGACCCTGGTACACAGCTCGTTCAAGGTGGGTCCTGGCCTGGGGGGGGGGGTGTTGGGGGGTTGGGGGTGACCTAAGCTGGTATATGACCCTGAGGGGCTTTGGGACCAGTTCCAGCTTCTCTTTCCCCCCCACAGCCTGTGAACAACGCAGACTTCATCATTCCTGTGGAAATTGATGGGGTGGTCCATCAGGTGAGGGGCAGTGGAGGCTGACTGGGGGCCTTCCAGATCCTAGGCTCCTCCCACCCCTCCTGAGCACCCAGGGAGGGGCTTTTGCTAGATCTCAGAAACCAGAGGCCCAGAGAGGGTGTGAGGCTTGTCCAGGCCACACAGACCCTTGGGGACTTGCTGCACCCTGCAGAGTGGCTCCTCTTCTGGTCCCCCTTGCCCCACCCTGCCCGGGACCCAGTTCAAGTAATTCAGGATAGGCTGTGTGGTGTTCAAGCCTGTTCTTCATTACTTGGCTCGGGAGCCGGTGCCTTGCAGCTCTGGGGTGAGGGGGCCACCCCAGCATCACCCCCCAACATTTGCCTGAGGGACTCAGAATTAGTGACTGGCATGAGGAAGGGCAGGGGTGTTCATTTTGATAATTTTCGGAGGGTGGCTTAGGGGCCTCTGGGCAGCTGGAGTGTCTGGGCAGTTGCACGAGCAGGCTCTGGGACCACCCGTCCTCCTATGTCCCTCCCTCCATCTCGCACCTACTTCCCGTCAGCCAGCCGGCCATGGCCTCCCTGGCCCGGTGGCCTGCAGTCCCCTCACTGGCCCATCCCCCAGGTGTACGTGCTGAAGCGGCCCCACGTAGACGAGTTCCTGCAGCGAATGGGCGAGCTCTTTGAGTGCGTGCTGTTCACTGCCAGCCTGGCCAAGGTGAGCCCTGTTGTCTGGTAGGTCCCCACCTCCCCCACCCAGCATCCTGCTCCCCAGCTGATCCACCTCCCGTACCCCCTAGTACGCAGACCCAGTAGCTGACCTGCTGGACAAGTGGGGGGCCTTCCGGGCCCGGCTCTTCCGGGAGTCTTGCGTCTTCCACCGGGGGAACTACGTGAAGGACCTGAGCCGGTTGGGCCGGGACCTGCGCCGGGTGCTGATCCTGGATAACTCGCCGGCTTCCTATGTCTTTCACCCCGACAACGCCGTGAGTGCTGGTGGGCTTGCCCTGGGGGCCCTCTCCCACCATGGGGACCCTGAGTCTGTCTGCTTCTTGCTGCTGGCACTACCAGTGACCACTGGGTGTCGAGGGTGTGGGCCCTGAGAGCTGTGATCTCTGAGGAGCCCACAGGTTTCAGTTGAGTGGGTCCTGATTGGCACCTGAAGGCGATAAAATAGGAGGGGGCTTTGAAAAGTTCCTGGGAAATACCATGGTCTTTCATGCCTGTTGCTCCAAGAGCTTCTTAAGGCCCAGCCCCTGGGAGGAGGGGCAGGAAATGTTGGGGTGCTTTGCTTTTGCTCCATGGGTTCTACCCCCAAACGTGCGAGAACTATGAGAGGAGGGATACCATCTGGGGTGGGGGCTCTAGGGCCCGCGTTGACTTTGAGGGCTGGCCTGGACACTGCTCAGGGCCACCAGCCCCCCTTACCACCCCGCTCTGTCCACCAGGTCCCAGTGGCTTCGTGGTTTGACAACATGAGTGACACGGAGCTCCAGGACCTCCTCCCTTTCTTTGAGCAACTCAGCCGTGTGGATGACGTGTACTCCGTGCTCAGGCAGCCTCGGCCTGGGAGCTAGTGAGGCCGAGGGGACCCAGACTGGGCCCCGAGGGACACCCACACCTCTTCATGCACTCTCGGACTTGGCGGGGCCCTGGCGCTCCTCCTTAAGCAGACCCACGGGCTACCACACTCAGTGCCAAGGGGAGCAGGTGCCTCCCCTGCCAGCCTGCCCTGGCTGCAGAGGGATAGCAGGTGGCACCCAGAGCGGTGAGCTCCAGGGTCCCCGTTGTCAGTGCCTTAGAACCCCCTGTGCCTTCCAGGGGGACCTGTGGGGACCCTGCGGGCCTCGCTCTTTCTCTCTCCTCTCTGCTGCCATGTTTCTTGCTGCCAAATTGGGGCCCTGGGCCCCTCCCAATTGCTTTGTTGGGAGATCGGGTTCCTACTGCCCCGTGCCCTGGCCTAGCCAAGGAAAAGTGGGCAGAAGTGCCGGGCACGGAGCTTCTCCTCCAGACCAGGCCTGTCCAGGGGCCCCATCCTGGGCAGCTGCTTTGGTCTAATCTTGCTCACGCTAACTGCAGAAGCTGCTCCGGCCCCCTGGGGACCAAGTTGTCCTGCCATTCCCTGCTGGGGAGGGGACAGGACCTGTTAGCGTCTCTGAGGGCTGCTGCCTTTCAGCCAAAACTCACCCCTCGCATCTGCCTTCAACCACCTGTGGCCAGCCCCCCATCCACAGGGCTCGGCTGCCCAGCTGTGAGTGGGGCAGAGGGGACCGCAGGAGGTGCCATATAAATATGTACATGTGTATATAGCCTTGGAGGGGAGGGGAGGCAGAGGGGCTGGGGTAGAGACACCCCTCCCCTGGCCTTTCCCTGGGCCCGGAAATTGGGGGGAGGGGGAGGGAGAGGATTTTTACATTTTTTTAATTGCTATTTTCTGAATGAAACAAGCTGGGCCCAAGGGTGCCCAGCCTGCTCTTATGTCCTTCACAGCCCTCTGCTCTGTCCGTTCGCTGAGAACCTTCTACTGAGCACCTGGCTCTGTGCCAGTCCTCTGCCTGGCCCACCAGCCAAGATGGTGGGAGGGTGCCCCTACCCCACCACCCACACTTCACTAGTGCCTTGAGGGGAGCTGTAGGATGTGGGAGCCTTCATGTGGGGCTTGAAGGGTCTCTAGGAAGCCTGGCCAAGCAGCACCCCCCTCTGTGTGCCAACCTGCAACCACCCCACCCCCAATGACTGGGGGCCACTCCCAGGACACCCAGCCAGATGGCTCTGACATGTAGAGCCCCTGCTGAAAGTCAAGGCCTCAGGCTGTCCCAGGGACTCACGGTTAAAGGGGACCCATGTCCAGTGCCAAGGGGGATGGCAAATGGGGCTGTCCTTGTGTCCTGCATTGAGAGGTGGGTGGGAGGGTATGGTTGGCTGAGTGGGGTAACCTGCCTGTTTTAAGTGCCTTCTCTGTGACAGGGCCCCTCAGTGATGAGAACTAAATAGGAAGCCAGACTCTCCCAGTCTCCTCTGTGGTTATTGGGGGGTGGGCGGTTACCCTCCCATGTGTGATGCCTGCAAGTCCCTGGGGCAGTGGAATGAGGAGCTCCGAGTGACTACAATCCTTGAATACAAACCGAATGGGCATTCCGTGATGTGATCAGAGTGGAGACAGAACCCCAGGCGAGTGCTGCACCCTGCTGAGGACGTTCAGGTTGGGGAAAGACCTCTGGGAGGCAAGGGGTGGTTTTACTCTGGGCATCGCTCTCACTGCCACTTGAGTCCACCCTGGGACGCTACAACTGCTGCTGTGGGTTTCTGAGCCTCTTCCCCGGGGCGGCTGGTGCTTTAAACTAAGGACCATGCACATGCACGCGTAGCCCGCATCACGGTGACCAGGGACCCACTGCGGGGGTGGGGGTGGGGACTCGCTTGAACGCTGGGACAAAGTGGGCTTGAAAATGGTGGCTGTGCAGCAAGACGAGGTCCAGGGGTGGGGGTGGGTGTCTCGCCCAACAGCCGGGCTGGGGGCAGCATCACGCACCACGGAAGAACCTTGGGTCAGTGCCAGGTGGGCCAAGGTCCCCAGCGCCACCCATGGGCAGGGGTGGGCTGACTGAGGCCTCTGGCGGGGGTGTGGGGAGAGAGAGAGACCTCGAACCCCTCTCTCCACCTCCGGCCTCGCCCTCGCCTGGGCCTCCAACCCACTTCCCGCCCCCGCCCTGCGGCCAGGCCAGGCTTCCTTGGGCGTCCCGGGCCCCACAGGAAGTGCCGGCCCTGCTCCGCTTCCCACGGCGGCCACTAGAGGCCTCTCCGCCCCCGCCGATGCCAGCGCCCCCCCGCCCCCCGCTAAGGCCCACAACTCAACCCCAGCGCCACCAGAGCCCGGACCAAAGATCCCGCCCGACTACGTCAACCCATACCCACCAGACAAGGGGGGATCTACCACCAGCTTCGCCTCCCCTGCTCCCCCCACTCCTCATTAGCTTACCTTGGGCCAAGGACCACAGGCTGCCTTCGAGGACAGCCCTAGGGGCCCAGATGTCCCAGGCTCCCCCCGAAAGGGATCTACACAGAAATAACTCCCCCACCCCGGCATGCCACGAGCCAACTAACCCACCATGAAACAGCAGCCTTCAAAGTTAGCTTCGTGTAGGCCCTGTGCTGCCCAACCTTCCCTGGGCACCTGCACCCCTGTTTCCTGTTCTCCAGGCAAACCCTGCTGCTCACACCCGCCCCCAGATTTGCATCCCAGAGGCCCAGAAAGGCAAGGGGGAGGTGTCAGGGTTCCAGCTCTGAATGAGACCACAGTCTCCTTCCCCACCACCAACCCGACTCCACCTGCGGAGTGCCTCCAGAGCGGCCACAGCCGTGCCACGGTGTCTGCTCCCAAGGAACGTGCACCCCGGGAGTGGGAGAAAGAAACAACGGGGAGGGGAGCTAGCGCCCTCAGAGGTCTCGTAAATGCTCTGCCAGGCTCCAAAGGCAGAGTAGGGGGGCCTAGCCTACTGCAGACCAGAACCCGGTGTCTGGGAACACTCCCAGTGGCCTGAGGGGCAGCATCTGCCCAGGAGGTTGATATTCAGGTGCTGTGACCTGAACCAGCGGAGGAAGTGGTAGGAGCCAAGCCACAGAGGCAGCCGCAGAATGAGCACGCGAGAAGAGAACTGTCGGAATTGTGCGCAGAGGAGAGGTGGGGTGAGCTGCAGCTGGACCACCACCACCCATCCGTCAGTTTGTCATACTCTGGTGGCTTGCTGGTTGCTAGGGTCCCCGCAGCTGTGCCATTAATATTTCAAGATCCGCAGAGGTACCTGTAGGGGCTAGGTTTCAGTGGATCCGCCCAACTAAGTCAGACTAAGAAGAAAGACCTGGTGATCCACTTCCCAAATCAGCCAATGAAAACCTATGGATCAAACAGCAGTTTAACCTCATCAGCCTCCTGAACATTGTGCTTTCTCAGAGTCAGCTAGGTGGGATGAAATTGGCAACAGCATCTGAAGGGGTGAGAAAGTGGGCATGTGATAAGGTAATTTGGAAAAGAGTCCAAGAGTGATTCTACAACTTGAAGAATATCAAGTGTTGCTGCAGCATACATGGAGACTTGGTGGCAATGGGGCGTCGTTTGGTGTGTATAGTTTCCCAAAAGTAATATAATAAAATACAAACTGTAATGAATCACAACAGGACACAGTTCACCTCGCCAGCTGTGGGCGTGCTGCTAAACCCAAACACCAAAGCCACTGCTGCGAGTGTTTCAACCCACAGCGACTCTAAAATAGGGTTTCTGAGCCCGTAGATCTTTACCAGAGCAGACAGCCTCTCTTTCTCCCAATGAGCCACTGGTGGGCTTTAAGCTTGTGTTCAGCAGCGCAATACCTAGCCACCCATAGTGCTACCAAGGCTCTTTATGGCCATTCTGTGTGGAGAGAGCAATTGTTGAAGGAGGTGTTTGTTGTAGTCAAGGGCGGGAGAGAGAACCTGCAACCCATTGTGTGATGGATTGACCCAGAAGTGAACTGGCCAGCAAGCCTGAGGACAATCCAGGGCCAAGAAATGAGTCCATCTATTATACACAAGGGCACCACGAGCTGTAGTCTGCAAAAGCAACCATCTAGACATAGCTCAGTGGGCTCCTTTGAGGGGCCGGGAGCAGGAGAGGGGTGAGATGGAAGAAGTCTCACGTCCTCACTAATAAGCATTCAGGTTGTACTTCTTTCCAGGTATATTTGTTTGTTCTCCGGGTAGTCCATGGGATACTCAATATTCTTCACCAACACCACAATTAAAATTCGTGAATTCTTCTCCTGATTCACTGCCCAGCTTTCACATATGAGGGGGTACCCAAAAAACTCAGAACTGCACTGGATGGAGTGGAGTTTTCGTAGTACGCATTTTTCCCTAGGGCGAGCATCAGGCAATTCACTCTGGATTAGTGCACCCAGTGGCTTCACCTGGGAAGGTTCTCTCTAATCAGTGAATTTTTTTGTGAAAGCAGTTTCACTTGAACATTGTTTTTTGGGATGGCTGATTTAAGAGAACAGTGAGCAGCTGTGAAATTTTGTTTCCTGCTCAGGAAAAAATGCTGCAGAAACTGTTGTGATGTTGAACACAGCTTACAAGTACAACATGAAAAAATTCAAGTGTATGAGTGGTTTTCTCATTTCAAAAAAGGTGAAATGCCGTTGATGACAAACCTCATTCTGGACATCCGTCAACTTCCTGAAAATGTCTATGCATAGTGCCTTTGGAGTTCGTTCTGTCAGGTCAAGCTGTAATCAAGCTTTCTATTTAGAGGTTTTGAAAAGATCATGTTAACAAAAAAGGCTTGATTTTGCTACCGCAACAACGCACCTGCTCAGGCAGTCATCTCAGTGCACCAGTTTTTGGCAAAAACCAGCATGTCTCTCTTGCCCCCACACCTAACTCACCTGACCTCGCTCTGTGGAACTTCTTGTTTCCGTGAATGAAGGGAGACATAAAAGGACAGCGATTTGACACCGTAGAAGAGGTGAAGAAAAACACAAGGGAGGTGCTGTCAGCCATCCAAACAGATGAGTTTGAAAAATGTTCCCAAGAATCAAATCACAAATTTGACAGTCTTAAGTGTAATGGAGAGTACTTTGATGGTGATAAGACTGTTTTGTAAAAAATATTTAAATAGATAGCATTGAAAAAAAATTGTTTTGGGGGGCATACCCACTCAAACATATGTGACAAACACTATGGCATAGGTCAGGCACACCTTAGTTGTCAGAGTGACACTTTTGCTCTTTAACATTTTAAATAGGTGTTGTGCATCAGATTTGCCCCAGGGAATGCAGCATTGATGGTAGATCCAAGTATGGAGGCTTGCAAATTCCGAATCTATGTGTCAGCCCTCAGGTTAAAACCATGAGAGCAGTAGTTCTCAACCCTCCTAATGCCACGACTCTTTAATGTAGTTCATGTGGTGGTGACGCCCAACCATAAAGTTATTTTCATTGCTACTTCATCACTGTAAGTTTGCCACTGTTATGAATCAGGTGACCCCTGGGAAAGGATCATTCGACCCCCAAAGGGGTCATGACCCACAGGTTGAGAACTGCTGCATTAGAGGCTTCCTGATGTAAGTGGTTTCAGGAACTAAGAAATCCAAAATTGTCAGGTCGAATGGCTGAGGGAGCTGGTGAATCTCAAAATCTGCAGGTCACCCCAAGAACAGGAGGTCAGAGGAGGATGAATCCCACGCAGGCTAGAGCCACAGAGCTCTGCCAGAGCAATGATGTATGTTGGATGCAGACCGCACCTCCAGGGAAACTCCCCTTTCAACTGATTGGCTGCTCACATCAGAGCACAAAACGAAGGATGACCACAGGAAGCCTGCCACGCCACTGAGAACACATAACCTTACCCATCACGGATGTTATGTACTTTCTGATGTGATGTCCCGTGCAGTACACAGCATCGCCTTTGAGCTTGTTAGTAATGTCAAATCTTGGGCTCAGCCTGGTATTGAATTAGTACTGGTGTTTTAAGAAGATTCCAGGTGATTCTTTTTGTTTTGTTTTTTGTTTATTATTATTATTAGCCACTCTCTGCTTTTAAAAAAAATCATTTTATTGGGGGCTCTTACAGCTCTTATGACAATCCATACATACACCCATTGTGTCAAGCACATTAGTATATATGTTGCCATCATCAATTTAAAAATATTTTCTTTCTACTTGAGCCCTTGGTAGCAGACTCATTTTCCAGGTGATTCTTATGATCTGGCTTGAGAAGGACTAACTATAAAGTATTCTTAAAAAAAAGTGTTTAAAAAAATCAAATCATTGTGAATGAGGGGGAGTGCAGATTGGGGACTCAGGACCCATCTGTAGGCAACTGGACATCCCCTTACAGAATGGTTGCAGGGAGAAGATGAACCAGTCAGGGTGCAGCTTAGCACCAATGAAGCATACAACTTTCCTCTAGTTCTTAAATGCTTCCTCCCACCCCCCACTCCCCACCCCGCACACTATCATGATTCCAATTCAACCTTACAAATCTGGCTAGACCAGAGGATGTACACTGGTACAGATAGGAACTGGAAACACAGGGAATGCAGGACAGATGATTCCCTTCAGGACCTGTGGTGAGAGTTGCGATCCTGGGAGGGTGGAGGGAGGATGGGGTAGAAAGGAGGAATGGATTACAAGGATTTACATATAACCTCCTCCCTGGGGGGACGGACAACAGAAAAGTGGGTGAGGAGAGACATCAGACAGTGTAAGATATGACAAAATAATAATAATTTATAAATTAGCAAGGGCTCATGAGGGAGGGGGGAGCGGGGAGGGAGGGGAAAAAATGAGGACCTGATACCAAAGGCTCAAGTGGAAAGCGTATGTATTGAGAATGATGAGGGCAACAAATGTACAAATGTGCTTGACACAAGGGATGTATGTATGCATTGTGATAAGAGTTTTATGGGCCCCCAATAAAATGATTTGAAAAAAAGTGTTTAAAAAGAAGTGTTAACCAGAATGAACTCAAGCCTTTATTTTCTGCCTGTGGGAAATACAGAGGGAATTGTGAGGAAGCCAATTCTGTCCTTTTAACCGCAAACAAGGACAAGGTTACTTCCACGAAAACAGTCATGAGAGTGCTTTCAGAAAGACTGGGGAGGCTTGGATATGATTGGGTAGAAAGTGATATTAGAAATTATTGTTAATATTCTCAAGTCTGAAAATGATATCGAGGTTAGGAACAGAAGGCCCTCATTCCAAGGAGATGCATGATAAAGAGTTTTGGGTTGAAATATCCTGATCCCTGCCACTTACATACACCTGTGACACCATTACTTGTGTTTTTATGTCCATGCGACACTTTTCATTTTGAAAAAGAAATTGAAAACAAAACCAGAGGAAACACATATGTGCTTCCGGAAACTCCTGGCAAACAAAAAAGACAAACCACAAAACAAACAAACCCACTTCCCCCGCCAGCCCGGCCCTCGGACCCCATTCCCCGAGGTGCGCGCAGAGGCTGCCATGGGCAGCGTGCGCTAAACAAACAAACAAACAAACAAAACACAACCCAGATGACAGACCATCATACGTTAAATATGTAAACAACTCCAACAAATTACTTAGAAATCAATTCATAAAGGTATTTTTTAAATGTTCCTTCTCGCTGGTAATCGAAGAGCCTAAATCAGCACAATGTACCCTGTTTTCACAGGCGGATTGTCAGCAATGATCTCCAATGCTGGAACCCAGCGCTGGCCAGAGCACCGAGAGAGTGGGGCTCTCGATCTGCCCGTGAATCCAACGGCTACTACATGTCCCCCAGAGGCAGAGTGCCCATTCATATCTTTGGCCCAAAGCTCTCATGTTCAGGAATTGACCTTAAAGAAATCGTCATCACAATTTGGGGAGGAATAACAATAACGGTTGTATAACACAAAGAGTATAACCAATGGCACGAATTATACATGTAGAAGTTGTGGAATTGGTGTATGTTTTTTGCCAAAATTGAAAAACAAATCCCATGAATAAATATGAATACGGGGGCAGGGGGGGCAGAAATGTTCTAAAATTGATTGTGGTGAAGCTTGTACAACTCTTCTTGATATAGTTTAATTGCATGATACGTGGATGAAGTGCCAATAACGCTGTTTCCAAATAAAAAGAAATCATCAACCAACAGCAAAGATTTTCACAGTAAGAACACCTTTCACAACATTGTTTGAAATATCAAAGAACTGGCAATAATGTGGAAATCCAATGATGAGCCCGGGTTACCTAAACAGGCCCATCTCTCTAATGGACTACAGTGAGACACTTAAAAGTGAGGTGAGGTAGTTTATTGTGCCAACCTGGCCAATAAACACATGTGGGGTTAATTGAAGGGCGGAGGGATAAATGGCTTGGTAAGCCTCGCCTTTCTAGTTCTCAGGTCTCTTGCTTTGTGATGGTCAGAGTAGGGTGCAGCTGCCTTAGCAGTTCCCAGCTTCAGCTTGCAAGGCTGACTTCATGCAAGACACCCCCAAGGAGAAGCCGCGTGGACCTACCCTGATGCACCTGTGTGGAGACTCCTGCCAGCGCTGAGATGCTTACACATTCACTGACTTGGCTTTCCTCCTGCAGTCGGCATCATAGTGTGAGTTTTGTGAGATGGAGGAGGACTTTGTGGATTGGTGTCGGGCATATGGGCTAATGTTGGACTTGTGGGCTTGGGCAGCGCCAGGTTGGGATGTTTTCTTGATGCTCACTCAACCTTTATATAAAACTCTCTCTTATACACGAGTTTCTGTGGATTTGTTTCTCTAATGTAGCCAGACTAACACATGAGGTTACACGATAGTACAAAGCACAGGCACACAAACAGGTCTGTCTGTCTTGGAAGAAGTACGGCCAGAGTGCTCCTTAGAGGCAACGATGGCAAGGCTTCATCTCACATACTTTGGACATGTTGCCAGGAGAGGCCAGTTCCTGGAGAAGGACCTCGTGCTTGGTAAAGTGGAGGGAGGCCAAAGAGAGGAAGGCCATCCAGGAGATGGAGTCGCACAGCGGCTGCATCACCGGGCTCAGGCACGCGAACAATTGCGAGCATGGCGCAGGGTCAGCCAGTGTTTCGTTCTGTTGCGCAGAGGGTCCCTGTGGGTTGGAGCCACTCGACAGCACCTAACCCGATAGCACCTGTTCTTGCTTGATGCTTTCCTTCGTAAAGCGATCACTGAAGAAACAGACGCCATAGCAAAGTGTGGTGATGAAAGTAGATTGTGCCCAGCTGTCAGAAAGAATAGTGTTTGGGATCCTGAAGGTTTGTCTTCAAACATCGTGCGTGTGATCCAAGGATTGTAAAAAATAGACTACAAATCCAAAGGAGGGAATGGTGAACAGCCAGGTTATTAGACAGAGAGCATTGTAAAGTCAATTTGGCAGATGTAGTTCGGTTAAAGGGTAACATCTTCTCCTTTAATCTCCCTGTTGACTCATTTAAAAGAAATGTTTAACTTCTTTCTGCTTTCTTTTCGGTTGACGTTTTTCTGTTTTATGTTGTTATTGTTGTTAGTATTTTGGGTTTTGTGTGTTTTCCTGGATAGGGAAACCCATAGAGACAATAACTGGATTAATGGTTCCTTGGAGGCATGGCGGGGGGGTTTGGGGGCAAATGGGGAGCTAATAACAGAATGCAAGAAAGAAAAAAATCTAAAATCAATTGTGGTAATGATTGTATATCTCTTGTTAATATGATTGAACTATGAATTGTATGGTATGTGAATTACATGCCAATAAAGCATTTTTTAAAGTCCATGCACAATATATCTTCCCACAGTAATAAATGCGTACTGCAAACTAGGAAGTAGATACGATTGTTGTGGAGTCAGCCCTTCAGCATATCGGTGTTCCAAAACGCTGCTTGCTCCTGGACTGCTCTTTGACACATTCATGCCTCTTATGTCAGTTCACCTCATTGAGGGATGTCTTCATTTTTACTTTCTGCCAGATAGGTAGACAGGCAGGCAGATCCTGTGTGTGCGTGCATGTGTGGCAGATACCTTATACGTATGTGTGTATTTCATACGCAGTCCATATGTAGTGATTGAAAGGCCCCCAAATAAATCATGAACAGTGATCTCTCTGCCAGTTCTTCCAGAGGTGAAATTAGGGGTAGGCTTTTCCAACTCTTCTCTGCTCATTTGTATAAGGTGTTGATCTTACAAAGACGCCCACACCTACCTTCCATGTCTTTACTTCTCCTACCAGACTGTGAGACAGGCCCTCCTGGGGCAGCAGGCTCAGGGCTGGTGGGAGCCTGGCAGCCACTGCATGGGAGAAAGATGAGGTAGTGAGCTTCCGTGAACCCTGGGGGCAACTCTACCTGTCCTTTAGGGTCGCTGTGAGTTGGAATCAACTATGCAGAAACGTACCTGGATAGTGTGCAGCCACGTGTGTGCAAGCACACACCACACACACACACACACACACACACACACACCTTGCTCTCCAGAGGAACTCAGGAGGGTGTGATCAGCAGAGGGACTGCCCTCATCCCCACTCCGTTTCACCCTCGAAGGGAGTCAGGAGACTCAGAAGGATTTCTGAGGGGTGAGCTTTGGGGGCAGTTTCCTGGAAGGGGTCTCCTTCCCCTGCCTGTCCTGACTAGGATGGGGTTCTGCTGAGCTCAGGGGTTGGAAACAGAAAGCTGGGCTTCAGAGAGGGCGGCAGAGCAGGGTCCAAAGGCCCTGGTTTATGGCAGTTGATAAACACTCCAGGAGGAACCAACCCCAGGGAAGCTGGGGGGATCGGAGCTACCCACCGTGGCCCCTCTTCTGGGGAGGGTCCTGCTGCCTAGAAGAGGCCCCTGTGGGTGCCAGGGTCTCCTCTGACCAGGAAGGTGCCAGGTGTGACCCCTTGGCCCTGTATTCCTATCTTGGGGTCTCCTAGAACCCAGGGCTCCTGCTCCCACCAGAATGTGTCACTCCCCAGAGAAGGAGGGGACGGCTGAGGCTGCTTCTCCTGGTTGGTGGGAGGGAAGGTCCAGGTGCGTCCACCTCCGTCAACCTGTGCAGTCCATTGTGAGAAGGGGCTGGGCCCTGGGTGGAGACCAAGGCCATCCCCTGGGTGGGGCACATCTGGCTGCAGCTGTCAGGCTGTTGCTGGGTTCCAGGCTCCTAGGGACCTGCTGGGCACCTGCCTCCCCACCCCCTCACTCCCTCTCCTGGGCCCTATCTTCCCTTATATGGTGAAGGCCGTGCCTAGAGGAGGGGGGGTGAGGACAAAGGTCGCTCTCCTGCAGTCGGCTTGCCACAGCTCTCTGAGATCTCCTGGGCGGCGGCTGCCTCCTCGACAGGTAAGGCAACATGGGGACCATCATGGTGGAAGGGGACAGGGCCCCTGCTTCTTGCTGGCAGCCTGGGTCCTTCTGCAGCACCATGGCCAGAGCTGAAGGGAGAGGCTGGGACCCTGGAGGCTCAAGAGAGCCACAGCCTGTGTGTGTGCTGAGCATGCAAGGAAAGACTCCTGGGGCCTCAGCCCCAGCCACTGCTCTTTGGTCCCCACCTGTGGTGGGTCGGTCCCAAAGGCCACCTGCTCAGGGTAACCAGCTGCCCTTGTTTGCCCTTGACTGAGAAGGATTGAGGGACATTCACACTGGAACTGTCCCAGGCGAGCCAGGACCAGCTGGTCACCCTTCCATACTTCCTTCCGGCTCACTCCAACCCGGCGCTTGGCTCTATCTCTTTTTTTGGGCCCGGGCCACCTGGATTCTGGAGTTGAAGGGCAGGCACCAGGAATGGAGTAAATAGGGGCAGGGGCTGGAGATGCTGGCAGCAGGGTCCTTTGGTCCTGGGTCACATCCCACCCCCTGATTGTGATCCTAACCTCTGCTGCAGCACCGTCCCACCAGGCCTTCTCCCTGGACCTGCCCTGGGCTCTCCCTCTACTGCCCACTGTCTGAACTGGAGGTGGGGACAGAATGCAAGCTCAAGCCAGACCAGGGCCCAGGGTCTGACCGGAGACCTTGGAGGGCAGGGTCTGTGGTCCATGGCTGGAGGGGCTATGGGAGTGCTCCATCCCTCTACTGCCTTTGGCCTGGGAGGCTAAAGGGGGTCCTATATCTCAGGGCCTGGAACCTCTACCCAACCCCACCCCAACTTCCTCACTTCCTCCCCATCTGTAGGGTAAAGGAGTGAGGGGGCCAGCAGTTCAGGGGAGACTGAGAGCTGGGGAAGCCCCCCACCCATAGGGTAAGAACAGAAGCATCTGCTCCACCCAACACCAGGAGAGGCAGGAGCAGCTGATGGGTTTCTATGGGGGGATAGGGTCTCCTCTTAGGACCACCCCTTCCCCTTGTCCCCTTGTCTACCTCCTCCCTAAGGAGGCTGCTGGAAGGCCCACAATCCAGATTTCTCTCTAGGGAGGGAGAGCTCGGCCCCAGATCCCCCTTGATGGGCAAAAGGCACTTTAAGAATCCCTGGGGTGACTCTCAAAAACCCAAAGCCAAACTCCCTGCCATCAGGTTGCCTGCACCTAATCATAGAGACCCTGTAGCAGAGAACAGAGCTGCCCCACAGGGCTTCCAAGGCTGTCGATCTTTACTGAAGCAGGCTGCCGCGGCTTTCTTTAGTGGAGCATCTGGTGGGTTTGAACTGCTGACTTAAGGATCATCTCATGGACCCCACATCTAATGCCCGCAGCTGGGAAGGGTCTGAAGGCGTCTGTCTCGGACAAAGTGGGTCAGAGACCAAGGTGGTGACTGAGACAGAACTGCAAACCTTTTCCTTCTTGGCGCACAGACTGGCTCTGCAGAACCAGGAGCCCTGGGGGCTCTGGTCTTGAGAAAAGACACTTGGTGTCAGAGATGATGTTGTTAGTCAGGCTGTCGGCCTGAGGGACCTCCTAGAAGCCCTGCAAGCGAGGCTGGTGGTGACAGGAAGGGATGCTGAGTAGGGGCTGGCCAGGAGGGCATTGCACCCAAGCAGAATGCCAGGGACAGGGCCACCCTGCCGAGCTCCCCGGAGGGAGGGAGTTTCCTAGCAGGTCATGATTCCCAGTGATGACTCAAAGTCAAGGTGCAGAGAGATTAGATAGGCCTTCCGTTCAGGAGGCCTGCCCTCCATGCCCCATCATCAGTTCAGTGGAGGAGGGATGGTGGACGGATCAAGACACAACCAGATGTCCTTTGCTTTGCTGGGGGAAGGGCAGTGAGGCCCGGGAGCACAGCCCGCAGTTCTCCACCCCTGCCTCCCATCACCATCACTGGGGAGCTTGAAAAAAACCCCAAAACCCAGGACCCCCAAGTCGGAAATTAAAGTGCCCATACCCGGCCCCATTGCCCTAAGTCTAGGGGGCATGTAGAGGGTTGGGAGAGAGGTGCAGCCTGGGTATCAGAGTTTTTAAGTTTCTAAGGGTGCTGAGGTGCTGCTGCTGGTGGAGACCACGCGACAGGGCCAGCCAGAAAGGGCTGATCCCAGAAAAGAAGCCTGGGAGTGGGGGTGGGGTGGGAAAGACACTTCTGCTGACTCAGTGGGCGGCGCTGTTTCAGCGTGGGAGGGTTCATTCATTCATTCAAGCGCAGGCACTCTTCCAGATTCGGGGGGGGGGGGGGTTTGAACACAGTCAAGCAGACATGGGCCCCGCCCTTTGGGGTTCTGTCTTGTGGGCCACCACCACAATGATGAATGGGTGTTTAGGGGTAGCTGGGGAACGGGAGGCAGGAAACAGTTGCGGTAAAATCGGCCGAGCATCAAGGGTGCCATCTTCACAAGAGTGGGAGCCACTGGTACACAGGACCTCCACAACCTGACGTGGCCGCTAGCTAGTTTCAACCTGTCCACCCCAAATGGAGTAGCCACGCCCTCCCCCCTCCGGTCCCCTCCCACCGGCAGCCTCCCACCCCTAGGTCTCCGGGGGAGAAGCTGGAGCTCCCGCAGCCTTGGCTGCTGCCTTCATTCAAACACAACGTCGTTTCCAAGGTTCTTCTAGGTTGTCGTCTGGCCAGCGCTGTCCTCGTGCTCGCGGCGAACCACAGGGCATGTCCTGCTTGGCTGTTCCTCTGCTTCCACCCTTTGGCTACTGCGCGTAGCGTTGTGATGAGCATTTGTGATCCAGTTTTTGTTTGAACACCTGTTTTATATTCTTCCGGGTGGCTTGCTCTTTCAAGTCCTTATAAATTCTTTGCTTTACTCTGCCCCCCGCCTTTTTTTTTTAATAACACGGTATGTTTTGTTTTGTTTTAACCAAATATAACTTTGATAATTTTTTTTTTTCCAAAAGAAAAATGGGTTGAGGTCAGATGAGAAGGGCCGGGGGGTGGGGTGGGGTTTGCCTAAGAGGGAGGGTTTTGCTCAGTAGGCAAGAGGGAGCCCAGGTGGGGGTGCGAGCTGGTGGGAAGGTGGCAGGCTGCACTCTCGGCCAATCGGAGTGAAGAGTTCACCGTCTCTTCCCCGGGCTCCTGAGCATGTGGCCTCTGGTTCAAGATGGGGATTTTCTAGGCTGGGCTCCAGAGCGGATCCCTGGATCCAGGGTGCTCCCTGCTCTGAAGCCCTTGCCCTACACGCTGTCCCTCAGGCTCGTCCACGATGACCAAACTGACGGCCCAGGTCAAAGGCTCGCTCAACATCACCACTCCCGGGGTGCAGATATGGAGGATCGAGGTGAGGCCTGTGTGCGGGCCGGGAGGGCGCTGAGGAGAGGACGAGCCCCGGGATGATGTTTGTTCTCCTGAGCCCTGCCCTGCTGGCCCCGGCCACCTGCCCTGGTCATTGTCAACCCAAGCCTCACCCATCTCTCCCTCCACGCCTGTCCCTGCCGCATCACTCACCCGTCCCACTACCTTCTGCTTTTTCCAGAACTTTCTTCCTCCCCGCTTTCTCCTCTCCTCTTCCTCATTTGTCAACAGTCCCCTCTGTCCTGCCCTTGCTCTATTTGCAAAAGTATCTTTTATTTCTTGATACCACGATATCAAACCAAACTCACTGCTGTCCAGTCAATTCCGGCTCATATAGTGATTATCCATTGGACTGCTGCTAACCGCAAGGTCAGCAGTTCAAAACCACCAGCTGTTCTGTGGGAGAAAGTTGAGGTTTTCTACTGTAAAAAGTGAGTTCACAAACCCACAGGGACAGTTCCACCCTGCCCTATCAGGTCACTGTGAGTCAGAATTAATCTACTTGATGTCAGTGAGTTGTGGGACTTCTGGTAGCATAGTGGTTATGTGTTGGGCTGCTAACCACAAGGTCAGCAGTTCGAAACCACCAGCCTCTCTGAGGGAGAAAGATGGTGCTTTCTACTCCCATGAAGAGTTGGTGCCTAGATCTGCTCATCATGGTAGCCAAAGCCTCGCTTGACAGCCAGGCGGGGGCTGTGGGTGTGGTACCGAGACTGGGAATTGACAGGGACTAGGAGATAGCAATCTGTTGTAAAACAGTTAAAACCGGAAAACCACACTCGCTGCCATCTAATCAGTTCTGACCCAATAGGACTGAGTAGAACCGTCCCTGCCGGTTTCCAGGACTCTACAGACATCGTTATGGCCTTGGAAAGCCTCACCTTTCTCCTGGGGAGTGGCTGGTCCCCAGCCTCTTTGAACTTTGCGGTGGTCAGTCAGCAACTCCAACTCCACTCTCCTACTAGGGCTCCTGGTAGGGAGTTCGCCCCCTTGCTTTCATGGGAATGTACCGAGTAGTGTTTGTGGCGGTTTCCAGTGATCCCGGCCCGGTTTGAGCGGCTGGACCTGCCATCCTCCTCCCTGAGCCCCTTTCCTCCGGGATCCCCTGTCCTTTCTTCCTGCCCCTTCCTTCTGTCTTCCTCGCTCTGTGGTCAGCTCTCCTCCTTCTCAGTCTTCTTCCTGGCCCGTGTTCCCAAGCTCTCCTGCGACTTGTTCTCTGCCTCTCCCTGTGGGTCGGGGGGCAGGACCTCCCCGGGGTCCTGGGGACTCAAGACAGCCCCCTCCTTGTCTCTCTAGGCCATGCAGATGGTGCCTGTCCCACCCAGCACCTTCGGGAGCTTCTACGACGGGGACTGCTACATCGTCTTGGCTGTGAGTGTGGGCTGGCAGGGGAGGGACAACCTAGGACCCGGCCCGTTCTTCCACAGGGGTCAGATGGGGTGTTGGGAAGAGCTCGCCTGGGCCCCACCACCAGCATGACAGGGTTCACTGTGTGCCCCAGGGCCCTGCCTCGGGCCAGCTCTGTTGGTGGCAGAGGAGGCCCATCCTGCCACGGAGCCACGGAGGGAGGCCCCGTGCTATGTGTGGATTTAAAACAGTGGTTCTCAACCTTCCTCATGCCGCAACCCTTTCATTCAGTTCTTCATGTTGTGGTGACCCCCCAACCATAAAGTTATTTTCATTGCTACTTCATAACTGTCATTTTGCTACTGTTATGAATTGTAATGTAAATATCTGATATGCAGGATGTATTTTCATTGTTACCAATTGAGCATAATTAAAGCATAGTGATTAATCACAAAAATAATATGTAATAGTGAAATATTTATTTCCAATGACAAATAAATGATATTTTGACTTGAAGCATGGTGTAGCATGGGTAACAGTCTTAATATAACAACAGTAAACTACATTGCTACATTTTGCGACAGTATGCATAAAAAGCCAACCTCAGTGGGAAGGTTGAGAGAGCTTCTTTCTCACCAAATCAGCATAGCTGCATGTAGGCGGACCCCCCTGGTGATGAATAGAGGAGCGGTGTCTCGGTTGGTTCCTAAGACCATCAGAAACATGGGTTTTCCGATGGTCTTAGGTGACCCCTGTGAAAGGGTCGTTCAACCCCCAAAGGGATCTCGACCCACAGGTTGAGAACCGCTGATTTAGAGTCTTGGGGAAGGACATTCTGGATGTCACCCGAACTTGAGCCTCCATTTCCAAACCTTCTCGTCTTCACGTCACGTCCTTGATGCTTGTCACGTTCTGGCACCACCTGGACTCTGCAGTCATTGGTCGTCTTTCTCACGATGGTGACTAGGTTTAGCATTTAAACGCATTCAGTTAAAAATGGGAGTTTACCACATCTTGTCCCTGTGTACCAATGGCATGTGGCCAATAGAAAGCAGCAGTAAAATATTTACATGAAAAAAAAATGTACATGATGGCTACACTGAAAACCTGTGTTCGGATGTAACTTCCGGACTTCAGACACCTCTGATGAGGAGAGGAAGGCCCTGACCCCCTCCAGTGGGCGCAACTGAGTCCCACTCATTGTGGCCTGGGCCCGTGGCATGGGGGCAGGGAGCAGGGGTGCCTCTCGGGTCCCTCAGCAGCCCTCTCCCCTAGACCCACAAGACGAGCAGCAGCTTGCTCTACGACATCCACTACTGGATCGGCCAGGCCTCGTCCCAGGATGAGCAGGGAGCGGCTGCCATCTACACCACGCAGATGGACGACTTCCTCAAGGGCCGAGCAGTCCAGCATCGGGAGGTCCAGGGCAACGAGAGCGAGGCTTTCCGGGGCTACTTCAAACAAGGCCTCATGTACGGACAGAGCAGGCCAGGGCCCAGGCAGAACACCTACACTGGGAGGGGGTGCAGGGACCAGGTCTGGGCAGTCAGTGGGAAGTGATTAGGCCAGGAAGGGAGCCTACAGTGGTGGTGAGGGGGTTGTGATGGGGTCCCACGTGGCTTTGGGGGGGATTTGTCTTCACCTGTCCCCACTTCCTCAAGCCCATTTCTGCCAGTGCTCGGTCCTTGTCTCTTGTTCCTCTGAGTGGGCCGCCCCTGAGGCCGCTCCCAGGAGTTTCCTTCGGTAAAGCAACTCCCATCAGATGTCCTACTGAGCCCAGTGTCTCAGGAGGCCTCTGACCATCACACCAAGCTCCCGTCTGGCCAAAGGACCAAGGTCTGCCTCAACCTCCCCACACCTGCCCAATTTTCTCAAAAACAGGCAAGCCACACTTAAAACCCTTCCTTCCCTGTCTGAAGTGCTGGCTTCCCCATGGAAATAGTTTGGAGTGGAATGAAGGCGAGCCAGGAGCTTTCGGCCCTCCAGTTGGTCAAAGTCCTCACCCCTCCCTACTGTCTGGGTTTTGTTGTCTTCCATGCTCCCTGCAAGTGCTCACTCCCCAGGCACGGGAGCTGCTGCTCCACCCTTCTTATCCTTCACTCCATCCCCTGATGTCACAGGCTCTTCCTTATTCACACTGCACCCTCTGCAGGGCTAGACCAACACGAGATACGCAAAGGAGGCAACTTTGAATTCCCAGGGACAGCGCCCGAGAAAGAGAGACTGACTGAGTGCTTCGGCAGGGTCCCCTGCCCCCCAGGCTTGCCCCCCAGATGGTCCCCTGGCAACCTCGGGCAGCCTAGGTCTAGGAGGGCAGTGTCTTGTGGGTCTTCCCTGGTCCAGCTCCCTCCTCTCCCCTGCCCACTCCTACAGCATCCGCAAAGGGGGCATAGCTTCGGGCCTGAAGCAGGTGGAGACCAATTCCTATAAGGTCCAGCGGCTGTACCACGTCAAGGGCAAGAGGAACGTGGTGGCAGGAGAGGTAGGCAACCCCTCTGGGGACAGGGCCGGAGCTGTGGGGCATGGCCTCCAGACCACCCTTCCAGCCTGGAGTGGGCAGAGGAGGGGAGAGCGGGCAGGGCTGGAGGGCAGGAGCTGGTGGACGGTGAGTGGGGCCTCGTGGTGTCCTGACGGCCCCGCCCGCATGGCGTCGCAGGTGGAGATGTCCTGGAAAAGTTTCAACCGCGGGGACGTGTTCCTCCTGGACCTGGGCAAGCTCATCATCCAGTGGAACGGGCCCGAGAGCAACCGCATGGAAAGACTCAAGGTGAACCCCGAGGGGACCCCCGCCCTTGCAGGCCCAGCCTTGTCGGCCCAGGCAGCCTTCTCCAACTCCCATCGAGCTGATGGTGGGTGTGGGGAGAGGGTATGCCTGGGGGTGTGTGCCCAGGGTGTCAATCAGCTCAGCAAGGTCATCTGCTCAGCCTCATTGAGTCCCTGCTGAGTGGCAGGGAGTCCCTGGGGGCTGCAGATTGACTACCAGCCTCAAGTTTGGTGGTTCAAACCTCACACTGCCGCCCCAGGCACCTGCGGAGACAGGTCTGACCTAGAACAACCAATGGAGCAATTATTCTTCACACACACACACACACACACACAGCACCCGGCAGGTGTCCAGTCCACTTGACGGCAACAAGGGCTGGGGACTAGAGCTGGCTGTGCGTGCGCATGCATACTAGTTACATAGTGCCTGAGAGCTGAGGACAGAGGGGCAGGTGCAGACCTAGGGGCTCAGGGAAGCTTCTGGGAGAAGGCGAGGGGGACAAACCCTAGGGCAGGGGTCTGCCAGGAAGGGGCAGGCAGGTGATCTTCACAGGGAAAGTCGTAGAAGCTGTGGAGGGTTTATTCTCAGGGCCGTGGGAAGCTGTTGAAAAGTTATGGGTGGAAGACCTGGTCTCGTCTGTGAGATCATTTTGTGTCCTTAGGAGCGATGAAGCTGGTGGGGGCCTTGGAGAAGTGGGCAGCTCTGCAGGCACGTGGGTAGGGTGAGACTTGGAGGGCGGGGGGCCCCAAGCGTTCCCTGTCTGCTGGATGCACTCTGAAGAGGCCAAGAGCGTAGGCAGGCAGGCGGAGTGCCATTTCCAGAGAGAAAAAGGACCGGGCTGTGGCAGACTTGGGTTGAAATCGAGAGTTCAGTTTGGGACATCGTAAA